GGCGATTCTCTAACCGGAAAAAAATGGTCCAAGCGCGGATTACACTATTGGCATCACTTCCTGGTGGTTTTTGGGCTTTCACCTGGAAGATCGGTAAGCAATGAGAACTGATCTGTGGTCGCCAGCTGTCTGTCACTGGAGAGAGTTGGTGAGTGTGAGAATGTATGGGTGCTCCGCTCATCTCTATGGCCTTTTTTTTTTTAAAGCATTAGATCAATTTTTTTTTTGTTAATTCTAATGCTTTTACATTATAGAGGAGATGATCTGGGGGTCTTATTGACTCCAGATCTCTCCAATAAAAGAGGAAACCTGTCACTTGCTTTAAATTTCTATCACAAATGGAAGGGATGTTTATATATTTTCCTTGTTGATAGGAATAAAAGTGATCACGGATATTTTGTTTTAAAGGGATCAGTGTAAAAATAAAAAAATATGTAATTTAAATAAATAATGAGAAAAATTTTTTAAAAGCCCCTCCCAGCCCCCTCCCCCCTCTCTTGTACAGTAGCGAACACATACATAGGTCACGCCCGCATAATGTACACAGTGTTTCAAATTACCACATGTGAGATAATCGCCGCGAATATCAGGAGCAATACTAGCATAATTTCTAGCACTGGATCGTTCCTCTGTAAGTTAATAACGTGGTAACCTGTAGATTTGCAGATTTATTAAAGAAGAATCGGCCAATGAAGTTATTTTAGGTACTGGGTACTGTTTTGGCGCCATTCCATGAGCATGCACAATTTTTAAAGCATGACATGTTGATATCTATTTACTTGGAATAACATCATGCTTTCTTATCTTACAAAAACATTGGTTATCATATTGTGTTTTTGGTGTTTTTTTTAAATTCATTTTTAATGTGTTTTTTTTCCCACATAAAATCATTTTTCATTTAAAAAATCGCTGCGTGTGACATAAAATCAACTGTTTAAAACAACTGCTGTTTTATTCTCTAGGGCAGGGGTCTGCAACCTTTAAGACATAAAGGAGTCCCACTTGGATCCGTTTCTGAAGGGAAAAAAAGACTGGGAGCCGCAAAACCATTGCCTGACATTTTTATTTTTTAATTATAAATCCCACACTGGATATATTGCAAAAATCGCTCTGGTCATGAAGGGGGTTTTTAAATGGCCCCAGTAAGCAAAGGGTTAATCATGGCCACAGTGTATCATCATAATCACAATCAGAAGCCTTAGGTTTTGATTAGTGGTGGGCACGCTTTTTTTTTCAACTGAGCCAAATCTTGCCAAAACCGACGATTGAAATTTATTTTGAGAGAAACATTTTTAAAACTGAAAATACATCCGCCCAATTCTCGTATAGTAATTCATCACCCCATATTAGTAATTTATCCCCCCATATTAATTCATGTACCCCATATGTAATTCATCCATCCCCACGTATAGTAATCCATCCCCCCTCATAGATAGTTAATTTTATCCCCGCCTTATAGTAATTAATCATCCCCCATAGTAAATTTATATATAGTAATTTTATTCCCCCATATAGTAATTCATCCCCCCATATTAGTAATTCATATTTATCTATAGAAATCATTTTCTTATCCATATAGTAATTCATGTTTCATAGTAATTCATTTTTTCAATATTCCAGTAATATCCATCCCGCCATATAAATTCCATTCAATCCCCCTATATAGTAAACCACATCCCCCATAAGGCTAAGAATTAAATCCCCCAAAATATATTTTTCAACCACCCCATAGTAATTCATCCCCCATATAGTAAAAATTCATCCCCCATAGTAATTTTTATCCCCATATAGATAATTCATTCCCCATTTTAATTCATCCCCCATAGTTCTATTCATCCCCCTAATGTAGTAATTCAATCCCCCAATAGTAATTCTATCCCCCATAGAGTAATTCATCCTCCCTAGGCTATATAGTAAAGTCATCATCCGAATGTCGCTCCCCATAATTGTGTCAATTCACTTACCTTTGCTGTCCGCGCGTTCCTCTCGCTGTGTTTCCCCCGCGCCGTTCTGGTCTTCAGGGCGGACTGTGAGAGGAGAGGAAGGTTCGTCACGATGCCCCGCCTACATCCTGACAGCCAATGTTTTGGCAAGCGGAGACGCTCTCGGTCTCCCAACAACAGATAGGAGACTGCAATTAATCCTCCCTAGTTGCGGTTGTGATTCTTTACCGATTTTTGGTGACTGAAAGCGGGGGTTATTGCGTTTACGGGTACCATTTATTTAGCATGGAAATATGTAGTTTTTTTATTTGCTGTCTGGCTGTAAATTTTTAGGATAAGCTACATGAGATCCATGAAATCTCGTCTGAACAAGATTCTAAAATCATACATTTTTAATTCAATAATATAATCAAACCAAACAACAACTGAAATTTGAAATATAGCGCCAAGTTTCGGCTCATCACTGTGAGCAAAGTGCTTTGCTCAAGTATGAATATGCAGTTATTCCCAGTGTGTCTGATGAACGAAATTTCCCTTATCCCCACGAATCATTTATCACTCAATTCTGCAAGTGGTCATGTATTTACTATCACTGATTCTCTAGCATGAATCTAAAACCGGCTTTTGACTAAAGGGGACGGCTTTTTGGACAGCCATGGTACTCTTCTTCTACGTTTCCAGGCAGTAAGGAAAACAATCTGAAAACTGCAGACAGGGGACAGGAACAAAGCACTCCGGGACAAATATGATATGTGAAATAGGTTTGAAAACCAGCACATATGATTTAATACTATTGTAGAATCATTATGAAAAAAATGACATTTTTTTAAAATTTTCAAAGTTTCCCGGCCGGCCGGCGGCCTGCCCGTTACTGTCCCACACGTCACGGGAACCAGGAACACCATGAGCCGGATGCTCGACATCCAGACGGAGGAGATAGGAGATGGCCGGGAAACGCTGCAGGGGACACATCGCGGGAGCCGAAGGACAAGGTAAGTTGCTGGCAAGGGACTCCCTATGCAAGTGCTGCATGGTAAGCCCGAGTGTAGGCTCCGTGGGGTTACCGCTTTTGGATATAGAAATTTTAACCACGTGCATACACTCGGGAAATACCGCACAGGGAGGTTAAAAGAGCCGCAGGCTCTTGCCCGACCCTAATTGCCTGTCACCATGGCGGTGCAGTGTGGCTCCGGAGCCCGCAGGAAAAGGTGAAAATAGAGCCGGCATGCGGCTCCGGAGCCCGCGGGTTTGCCGAACACCAGCTCTAGGGCCTCATGCCTAAAAAAAATTTTATAATTTTGGGGGGATTTCTAATTAATTTTCTAGCAAAAAAACAGATATTTTCTGTATATGACGAGTAAATGTCAGAACTGGCCTGGTAGTGTAATTAAAGGATAAGTTCACTTTTTAGACAAAAATAATAAATGCACATTTTTTGCAGGTAAAAAAATGTGCATTTATTATTTTTGTCTACAGGAACCTAGAAAGCATTACACCAGCGATCAGTAGATCACTGATGCTATGCAGGTCTCCTGCAGACCTGTCAGAATATCAGCTTTCCATTTGGGAAGTACAGCCAAGCAGATATTCTGACAGGAAGCTCCAATGAACTACAGCGCTCCACAGCACCAAGTGGTAGTTCATTGAAAACTACAAGCCAACAGCCTCTATGGCATAAGTCCATGAATGAATGATCTGGTTGAACATGTAACATGTTCCCAAAGGTGAACCTATCCCCTTAAACTCACTTAGGCTAGGTTCACACTAATGCGGTGCGGTACATTGCATGTGATTTGCACAGGAACCGTACCGCATTCCTGTGCAAATCACATGCAAATTGTGTGGGGTGCAATTGGAGCCATACATTAAGTATGGCTCAAATCACGCAGTACCCGCACCAAAAAGGTGCAGGACCCTTTTATGGGTCCGCGCTAGAATCAGATCGCATGAGTATTCACACCTATGCGATCCGATCTGCACATCGCACCGCGTTTTGGCGGACCAATTTCGGGTGTTTGTTAACTTAACATACACACCCGCAGCGGTTCACATGAATGGGTGCGATTCTGATGCCGTGTGGAAATTCGCACAGAAAACGCTGCAAATTCTGCACCGCAGCAGTGTGAACCCAGCCTAAGGGCTTTATCTGCATTAAGTCCTCGGGCAGGGGGGGCGGACTGACAACTCATGGGGCCCCCCCGGGCAATAGGGGATCATGGGGCCCCTGTGTCCTCGCCCACACTCAAATCCCACCTAAAAAAAAGCCTATGAAAGGTACCAGGGACATCTCATGGGGCCCCCTACTGACCCCGGGCCCTCAGGCAGTGCCCGAGTTTCCAAATGGTCAGTTCGCCCCTGGCCCTCGGTCACACTGATCCAACTTTGAAATCGTGCGACTTCCAGTAAAGTCAAACGATTTCAAAGTCGGGTGTCATTTCCAACTTTAGGTGCAGCTTGCAAGACATCTGCGGCTTGCAAGACACAGATGTCTATGCAAGTTGCACCTAGATTACTGTAGAAATCGGTGCGGCTCTGACTTGGTCGGAATTGCACTGATATAACGGCTTTAATTGCGGACAATAGGGTGCGACTTGCAATGCGATTTGAAACTCGCATGGCATGGCAAGTCGCACCCAGTATGACCGGAATCAATTAATTAGCCTCAGAACCTGTGTAATTAATATTGTTTGGTTTTAAAGGAGGGGTGGCAACCATAGGTACATTTTAGCTTGTGTTTGTAGTCCCATGTGACTGGCGGTTTGTGAGGCTCCTGAGAGGTTTCAGAGACACAGAGCAGTCTATGGATGTATGATGATGTCTTTAACCCCCTTCCGCCCGCCCTATAGTACAATGATGGGCGCAGGGTGGTTCTCTCGTCGTCTGATAGACGTCCTACCACTCTCACTGCGCATGCGCGGGCTCAGGGAGTGCGCAGCGCGGCTATCGCCGGTGCGCTGTGTCCCTCGGACACAGTGGATCACGGAAAGAGCCAAAGATGTTGGCTCGGTCATGTGATCAGCTGTGTCCAATCACAGCTGATCACATGTAAACACGGAAATGCCAGTTATCAGCATTTCTCTCCTCTCGAGCTGAGGAGAGGAGAGCCAGTAATCGGCTTTCCGCGAGGGGACATGTACACTGATCATCAGGGCACTGATGATCAGTGTGCCCTGATGATCAGTGTGGCCCCAGAAGTGCCACCTGTCAGTGCCCATCAGTGCCACATCATGCCACATATCAGTGCATACCAGTGCACATCATTGCCACATATCACTGCCCATCTGAGCTGCCTTTCAATGTCATCCATCAGTGACAGTCAGTGCCACCTATCAATGCCAATCAGTGCCACCTATCAGTGCTGCCAATCAGTGCCACCTATCAGTGCTATGTCAGTGTTGCCTATCAGTGCGCATCAGTGCCAGTCAGTGCCGCCTATCAGTGCCAGTCAGTGCCCGCCTATCAGTGCCAGTCAGTGCTGCCCATCAGTGCCGCCTATCAGTGCCATATATCAGTGTCATGTATCAGTGCTGCCTTTCAGTGGCCATCAGTGATGCCTGTCAATGCCCATCAGTGCAACCTACCAGTGCCTCCTCATCAATGCCACCTATCAGTGTCCCATCAGTGCAGCCTATCAGTGCCCATCACTGCTGCCTCATTAGCGCACATCAGTGAAGGAGAAAAATCACCTATTTACAAAATTGTATAACAAAAACTAAGAAAAAATGTTTTTTTTTTTTTCAAAATTTTCAGTGGTTTTTGGTTTGTTTAAGAAAAAATAAAAATCCCAGAGGTGATTAAATACCACCAAAAGAAAGCTCTATCTGTCTCAAAAAAATGATAAAAATTTCATATGGGTACAGTGTTGCATGACCGCACAATTGTCATTCAAAGTGTGACAGCGCTGTAAATTGGCCTGGGCAGGAAGGGGGTAGAAGTGCCCTGTAGGCTAGTGGTTAAAGTTTGTATAATATCCACCAAACCATACATTTTCTGAAGACAAAGGACACATAGGGGTTTATTTACTAAAGCTGGAGAGTCCAAAATCAGACTCCCTTCTGCATAGAAACCAATCAGCTTCTAACCTCAGCTTGTTCAATGAAGCCTTTGGCAATGAAACCTGGAAGCTGATTGGTTTCTATGCAGAAGGGAGTCTGATTTTGGACTCTCCAGCTTTAGTAAATAAACCCCATAGCATAAAAGTGGAATCTTTACCTTCAGTGATTCATATTCATCTTTAAATGGGAAATATGTCCCAAGAAGCTTGGCTGCCAACCATGAGAGTGGAAGGCAAATATTTTTGGTGAGTTTCACATCCATGTGGGGTATCCTATGGAGCACTTTGTTGTCAGCCTGCTGCACATGGTGAAATAGAAGATTCATTTTTATGGACTTTTGGATTACTTTATCACACTTTTTTCATGGACTTTCCATCACTTTTTAGTTTATAATTATTTTTTACAGTAATCACGGACTTTTCACATGTTTGTGTTATTATTGAATTTTATGGGCATTTATGTGATTTTATTATATGGTTTTGTACTTATATTTACTTAGCGCCACTTTTAACACTTTATTCATTTGGTGTTTTTTATTTCAATAGGTACAACACAGCTTGGGAAAAACAGCAACCCAATGCCAATTATTTTTTAAGCTGCCTGTTATGCAGGCCATAGACAGGTCGAAAATTGGCCGATTTGTCGGCCGAAAAAAAAAAATGGGCCGATTTTCGCACCGTTAGTGGATTAATTGGTCGGCCGTTCTTTGGGCTTTTTGCACATTTTTTTTTATCGGTCAAGTTGAAAAATTTGCGGCCGATTTTGACGATCGGCTGACTTTCCCGGCAATGATGGGCAAATCGGCCAATCGTTTACCGATAAAAAAATCTGCGCATGAGCCGTGACCTGCAAGAAGAAAAGAAGAAGAAGGAGAAGAAGAGGTAAGAAGAAGAAGAGGAAGAAGAAGCAGAAAAAGTAAAGAAGAAAAAGAAGAAGAAAAAAAGAAAAGAAGAAGAAAAAGAAGAAGAGAAAGAAAAGAAGAAGAGAAAGAAAAGAAGAAGAAGTTAAAGAAGAAGAAAAAAGTAGAAGAAAAAGAAGAAAAGTAGAAGAAAGAAGAGGAAGAAAAAGAAGGAGAAAAAGAAAAGAAGAAGAAAAAGTAGAAGAAGAAGAAAAGAAGGAGAAGAAGGAGAAAAAGAAGAAGGAGAAAAAGAAAAGAAGAAGAAAAAGAAGAAGGAGAAAAAGAAAAGAAGAAGAAAAAGAAGAAGAAGAAGAAAAAGAAGAAGAAAAAGAAGAAGAAGGAGAAAAAAGAAGAAGTAGAAGAAGAAGAAAAGAAGAAGAAGAAAGAAGAAAAAGAAGAAGAAGAAGTAGAATTCCAGTCCGCTATTATATTTTTATATGAAAAGTCTTATGGTTGCAACACATGTATCTATTTGTATCCGAATAAAAACATCTGTATCCGAAATGGATACAAATGGATACATTGTTGCAACCGAAAGACTTTTTCATGTAAAATATAATAGCGGAGCTCTCTGCAAGGGACAGAAGTAAAAATGCCGGCTGTAGACGGGATGACAATCGGACGATTTTTTTTACAATTGGTGGGGTAACGTCAGCCGATTGAACAACCGATTTTTTGTTTTCTTTTTTTTTTGAATAGCCGGTTTTTGACCCATCTATAGCCTGCATTAAGGGTGGCATTCTGTCCACCACTGTAAGGAAGACATTTTTTTATAGACCATTGATATATGATGCATTTTCCCTATCAACCCCAATGTAACGGTTTTAGTAAGGGTTCCCCAAGAACTGAAAACTATTTTAGGGGTTTCTCTGGGGTAAAAGGCTGGTCTTTTAAAGTATTTTTTCATGGCTATATAACTGGTGTTATTTTTATATTGTGTTTTTTTTTATTTTGTATACTTTTTTTCTGTATTGGTCAACTGTTCTTTCGCCCAGTGTTTCTTAATTGTCTCCTGTTGCAGATGGCTTATAAATCTGTAGACACCTGCAGTTGCTCCAGAGATTAAATATCTTCAGGGATTGTGCGTTCAGTTGTCCTCTGTCATGGGAAAAGGCGACTCTCGAGACGGTAACCAGCTGAGTCCCATGGCATGACCAGTCTGGTTGTCGGCCGTGGGACTTCATCATTCATCCTTAATCAATATTAGTTTGGCTGTTGAGTAATGTTGCTCTGGTGTGTCCTACACATATCAAACAAATGGTGTTTGTTCTACCCTGTGAATGATACATTCATCATCACAAAGTGTCCTGAACAAGAGCAGACATCAATTAGCAATATAACAGCATGCTTCATCTGGAAAAGAGGTTAGTGAAACACCGCTACCTTGAACGATTACAGCTGAAGAATCCAAAAAACGGAGAGTCTACGCTACTGCAATCCCTACTGCAAGGTAAAGTATAATGATTTTTTTGCAAGCTCATGTAAGGAGTTATTAATACATTGTTTACTCTAAAGTCATTTTTCAATAAGACTTCTATATATTAATGTGTTTGCTCGTCTAGAATTGGTTATGGTAATAAATAGTTGTGGATTAGCCTCTAGAAACCGGTCCAAAAACTGTAGCTTGAGGTCTGCCTGCGAAGCCCTGGTGTCTGCTGTACAGCCCTCGGCTGGTACATATTGAAACTTACGTGGCCCCATGGTGATATCAGGGGCCACAAATGAGGTCCATCTAGTAAGTTGACCACCACCTGGTACAAATTATGTATTAGACCTGGTACACTCCATTTCAGGGGTGGACTGTACAACTCCTGGGCGAGCAATTGGGGACCATGGGGCCCCTGTGTCCTTGCCCAAACTCACCCACCCTCCTATGTCAAAAGGTACTAACAACTCCTGGGGCCCCCGGCTACTGACCCAGGGCCATATCATGGCAGTGCCCGAGTTTCCCAAATGTCAGTCCCATTTGCTCCATGTATAAAAAACATTCTTGAAAAAAATGATACCTATTAAAAGAACATTAGACACAGAAAGCTGACCTCATGTATAGGAAATGCCTAAATACACTATGTAAAATGTTGGTGTCCATTATGAGTGCAGGAGCTTCTGCATGCTCGTGCAGGGCAGTTTTTTTTCCGGGAAATGGTCAGGATCTAGCGCCCATTCGACGAAGATTGCCTAAACTGTGCCCCTCCCCCCCTAGATGTATGAACATTATTTGTCAGCAAAATCACCTCAGCCCCCCCCCCCCCCCCAAAAAAAAAGAACTAATCTGCTCACTTACCCCCTAAGCATAACTTCCCTTTGCAAGCCAAAATTCTCCCCAAACAAAAATTTCCCCTTCTCATAGTACAATTAACCCCCACCCCACCAGAAATCAAGTTATCTCTCTCCGTAAATCCCCCCTCCTAGTATAAATCCCCCCCATGATACATACTAGCACAAATCCTCCCCCCCAATCCCTCTTCCAAATATAAATTCCACACCAAATTTCCCCTTCTAGCACAAATCCTCTCCCAAATCACCCCTTCTAGCACAACTACCCAAATCCTCCCTCTTAGCACAGAATCCCCTTCCTCTATACCCCCCAGCACAAAATCTCCCCCAAACCACCCCTATTAGCACATCCCCCCAAAATATTCCCCCTCCTAGAAAAAATCTTACCCCCTGCCTCCTCCTCTATCGCCCTTCTCCACACAAATTCCCCTCTCACCCAAATCCCCCCCAGCACATATCCCTCCTTTCCCTCTTCCAGCATTAATCCACTCCAATCCCCCTTCAACTGCAAATCCTTTTCCTCCATTCCCCATCCCAGCACAAATCA